CCTCAAGCAATTTCAGGAACAGTGAGGAACAGTAAGCCTCACTCTATTTAATGAGAGGTGGCCTTTGCGATCCACCCTATGAATGATGGCTTCGGGGAGCAGACAGGCTGCCTTTGCTGCTTTCGGGTCCCGGGGAGCCAAAGCCTCTCTGCCCTATTTGCTCTGGAACTGCTTTTGTGGTCTGGGGAGAAGCCTGCCAGGAAAAACAACCTACTTGGGTTGAGGTTGGCTGTTCACGCTGTTTGCTAATTACCTCTCACTTATAAAGTAAGGCGTTAATTATAGTTTTGCTAGAATTCATTTTAGTAATGGCCACTAACAATGGTTCACTCAGGGAAATCTGAACCAGGTTGTGTCAAACCGTATTAATTCAGTTTCATTAACTGAAATCTAACTGACCAGAATACATCTTTTCTACTCTCCTCATTGAAAATGGGGCAACAGACCGGCTGGCATGGCTCAGCGGTTGAGCTTCGACCCATGATCCAAGAGGTCACAGTTTGATTCTTGGTCAGGGCACATGCTCAGGTTGCAGGCTCGATACCCAGTAGGGGGCATGCAGGAGGCAGCCCATCAATGACATCATTGATGTTTCTATCTCTCCGTCTTCCTTCCTCTCTCTGAAGTCAATAAAAACATTTTAAAAAAGGAAAAGAAAAGGGGGGAACAAAGAAGATACATGTGAACTGAGCTTCTACAGGTGTCAGACAGTTTTCAAGGCACTGGGACCGCAGCAGAGGACAGACACTCTGGGAAGTGATAGTCTTCCTGAATGGAAACCTGCTGTTTAATTCCAGTCAACTAGCAGGGGCTCTAAAGACTTGCCTTTAAGCTAGACAATAAATCTTTTCATTGTTCTTTTAGGGTTGTTTCCTTTGGCCCAATTTCATGGCCTTATGTTTCAGAAGCCTCTATGGACTTCCTCTTTGGGACTTGCTTGAAAATAGGATGTTTTGCCAGCTGCCCGAAGTCCCCAGGGCAATAGCTGCGGCAATCAGTTTGGTGATGAACAGCCGACTCACCATTTAAATCATAAACTATATTGGTGAGTGGGGAGAAGCCAGCCCTCTCAATGTTTTATATTCCCTGATCCAAACAAACCAAATATAAAGGCCTTTATGAGACAGCTGGGGTATCCTGAACACTGACTAGGAATTTTATGTTAATGAACTGTTAATTTTGTAGGTATGATAATGGTGGCACTGTGGTTATGGTCTTTGTGTGTGTGTGTGTTTTAAACAGTCGTTATCTCTTAAAGATACATGCTAATATATTTGCAGATTAAATAATGTGGCATTTGCTTTATAATAATCCAGCAGATTTGGAGTAATAGACGAAACAGGATTGGCCCTGTGTTGACAGTTGTGTGGGGGCTGGGTTGTGGGTACCTGGGGCTGCACTGTGCTATCCCTCTCTTCTTTTGTTCATGTTTAAAAGTTTCTATGGTAAAGTTTAAAAAACAGTAATAAGCTTAATTGTGTTAAATTAGACATATTTAAGTTCCCTCCCTATCTACTACCTGAGTCTAGAAGAACAGACAGGAGGTGCTTAATCATTGCTATAATCATCCTATAAATCACTTGATGCCAGGGCCTGCTTATTCTCTTCTGTAGATGCAACATGTAGTGCTCAGGAACCCATCTTACCAAAGGTAGGTGTTCATGAAACTGGTACTTGTAGAATTAAATGTAAGGAACTTTCTGTAATATCTGAGAGCTCTTCAGTTTCTTCCACTTTCATTATGGTTTGGGGGGGAGTTATATAGCCAAAAGAAATTTGAGAACTTGAACCCTCTGGATAAGAAACAGCCACCAGAGGGAAACAGAGAAGCCAGTTTCTGTTAGCTTGGAACATTCCCAAACCTGGAGGACAATGCCACTGTGACAAATGCAGGACAGGGCTGCTGAACCCAACGGTTTCCCTCCTCACTACAGTCTAGTTAATTTGGAAAGCAATGATTAAGGCTCTTTAAGAAAAAAAAAAAAAAAGGCCAAGCTTTAGCCAGTGTGGCTCAGTGGTTAGAGTGTCAGCCTGTGGACTGAAGGATCTCAGGTTCGATTCCTGGTCAAGGGCATACCTTGGGTGCAGGCTCCTTTCCCAGCCCCGGTCAGGGGTGTACAGGAGGCTACAAATCGATGTATCTCTCTCACTGTCTCTCCTCCTCCCTTCCACTCTCTCTAAAAAAATCAGTGGAAAAAATATCCTCGGGAGATTAACAAAAAAAGAAAAAAAGGCCAAAAGGGAACCTCAAATATTGATCCATCCTTGCTACCCAGCTGTTCTAGCAGAAGTCTGAAAATATCCCACTTTTAATCAGGCAGGCAAACATTCCACATGTACACTTGAAACCACACCAGACTCTTTCTTAATAGTCTAAGTCACAAGAGGAAACCAGCTGGGACAATGAGGCAGCTTCTTTTACGGTCGGATATGTGTGTTGGTGGGGGTGGGATCTGGGGAGATGTGTTCTAGGAGCCACTGCCAGTTCTATTTAGAGTTAATAAAGCTTACCAGGACCCTGGGTTTCATGCAGCATGCAGCAAACAGCAGAGTTAACTGTAAAACAGTAAGAGCTGATGAAGGTGGAGTGAGCTTGAGGAGAAACCAAATATTATGAGTTCACACCAACAATGAAGAGTTAGAGGTCAAAGGAGATTAGGAGGAGCAGGAGGGCACGTGGGGAGGGTGGGCTGGGAGCGAGCCCTGCAACACGGGTACTATTCCTTAGCCTCCTTAAGGGAAGCCAAATGAAATTCTAAATATGTGACCCTATTACATCCAACCACCATCTCTCAAGAAGTGTTACCATCGCCACTTGCACCCTCATACCCCACCACTGCCATCATCACTATGGGACCGGAGTGACATAGGCCTCATGAAGGGTCTTTCAGAAGCCAGCTAACTGTTTAAGGGATTATGCAAGAAGCCCAGGCCTGGGGCCACTTACCCATCTGGAAGTATGAAAAGAGGACAGTCTATTGGGTCAGGCCCTTATTGCTAATACGAGGGGCACGGGCACTAAGGTTTTTACCCATTTCGAATTAGAAAAGGGCACCGTCACCAGCCCCAAATCTTTCTGAGGACTGTAAAGAGGGTCTTCTGTCTGGGGTTGGGGGAGGTCCAGTAATTTGAGGCAACTGGGAGAAAACCTGGTGTGGGAGGAACTTCCACTAACATCAGAATAGAGAATATTTATAGTTTAGCGTCTGTCAGTGGGTCCGAACAAATGGATCTTCTAATTCCTGCAAGCAGGCTGTGAAACTACCCCAGGGATTGAGTTAACAAATACCGCAGGGCTATGAAGGCAGCAGGTTAGAGCTGGAAGACAAATTTAGACTTTTCTGATCTTAAAAATAGGAATCCATTCCTGCTGGCGCAACTGACACACTACGACAGATTGGTTAATATAGTGTTTCCCAAGAGACTTTTTATCTGGCCAGTTGAACTTTATCCATTAAGTAATACCAAAAAGAGTTTGTTAGTCAGTGAATTTGACATACAGTGTTATGGTTCACTAACAAAAATCTTTAGACTAACGTGAAAATGTTCAAATTATACTTACGAATAAAGAATAATAGAATTGCAAAACTGAGTGCCTTCAAATATAAAATATTTTAATACTGTACAAAAGTCACTATTTTATTCCTAAGTGATGAGCCAGGCACAGAGGAAAGGAAGATGTTTCTTCCTGGCAAATATCCAATAGTTGAGCCCTGGCCAGTGTGGTTCAGTTGGTTGGAGTGTCGTCCTGCACACCAAAAGGTCACGGGTTCAGTTCCCCGTCAGGATACGTACCCAGGTTTCAGGTTCTATCCCCGGTCGGTAGGGGCGCCTACAAGAGGCAACCGATCAATGTTTCTCTCTCACATCGATGTTTCTCTCTCTGCCTCCCTCTCCCTTCCTCTCTCTCTCTCAAAAAAAAGTCAATAAAGCCATATTTTTAAAAAAATCCAATAGCTGAGTCAGGAACACACATGGCTAAGAATAGAGGGCAACGACCATGGACATCTTTCAGATCCTCAGACCCCTTTAATAAGGACATTGCCTAACACTCCATCTGAGGGCTTCTGAGTCACATTGCACAAACGACTTCCGAGCCCAAGGGACCACTGGGTTTTTTCCTGCTATGAATAGGTCCCATCAGAAATGCTTTTCTCTTCTCTGGTTCTGGGATGAGGAATGGGTTGGGTCAGGATAATTGGCCCACATGGTAACCAGGAACCCATGCTACCCCCACCTTACCAAATACCAGGGGAGGGAGATAGATTGTCAAATCATTCCCCAGGCTGAGGATGGCGCATCCAGAGTATACCAGCATCTGAGGGTTCCCCACCAAGTTTTTAGTTGTACCTCAGGCCAGGAACAACTAAGCGGTCAACAGGATGGACAGCAAAGGGGTGAGAAATCAGAACTGGGCTCCAGCCTTCAGCAGCAGCAATGAAACTCTGCTGGCTGCAACCAGGGAGAACTGAGGCAGAGAGAGGCCGGCCTGCAGGCACCGAGAGGTGAACACCTCCGGATGGGATGCGCAAGCAGGCCTGGAAGCCCCATCAGCTCCGACCTCTTGGGGAGAAAAAGCGTGCGAAAGGCTTCTGCAAAGACCCTCTCTCCCACTGCCCTCCACCTGCCCTCCTTTTTGTTCACTTCCTTATGACTTTGCAGCGCTCACTGTTTCCTCCCTTCTTCTTTCTACCCTCTCACATTCCTTTTGCCTTTCTTCTCCTTTCCCTCCCTCTCCTCCTACCTGAGTCTGCAGGACATTCCTAAGCAACCAAACAGAGAGGCTGGGCCTCTGGGGCCTACTCTCAATTCCTCAAATTCAGGGAATCTGAAGATCCCGCGGGGACACCGAGACCGGTTACAGGTACCCAAACTGGTCTAACAGCCCACAGCTCACCTCTGCTCACCATCCCTCGCCCCCTCGGCGCCCAGGCCCCACCCTGAGGGGATGAGCAGGAGCAGAAAGAAGCCACCACCCCAGAGCCCCCCTGTACACTTACTTTTTCTTCTCTTTGTCCCTTTTCAGAGTCTGAGAGCCTCCAGCCTGGGAGCCCTGGGACTGGAGCAGCTCGGCCGCCGTCTTTCTCTGTTTGAAAGCGTTCACTTCGTCATCCAGGGATTTCTTCTTGTCCTCCAGCTTCTTCTTCTCGTCCTGGTGCAGTTTCTTCAGACGGTCAAACTTCTCGTGCAGCTGGCAAGAAAGCACGGGGCGTTTGGGGGGAGTCCCCTGTCAGCAGCCCACAGCTAAGCTGAGCCCAGGGCGACCGGGGACGGTCCGACAGGGTTGCAGCCCTGCAAGCACCCTGGGACCTTAGGAGACATTTCTGCTCGCGACAGCAATGGTGGCACCAAAGGGCACCATGTTCTGGATAGTCCCCTTGTCCTGCCATTTTACCTCCAAGTGTCTGCTCCTGAATATGGTCAGAATGGTGTGTTCTGCTTAATCAAACATTTCATTTAAAAGAGTTACCACAGCCCGGCCAGCATGGATGAGCATCGACCTACGATCCAGGAGATTGTGGTTCAATTCCTGATCAGGGCACAGGCCCGGGTTGCGGGCTCGATCCCCAGCAGGGGCCAGGGAGGAGGCAGCCGATCAATGATTCTCTCATCATTGATATCTCTCTCTCTCTCCCTCTTTCTTCCTCTCTCTGAAATCAATACAAACATATTCAAAAATAAAATAAAATAATAAAATAAAATAAAATAAAATGAAAAAATAAGATAAAATAAGATAAAATAAAATAAAATAATAAAATAAAATAAAATAAAATAAAATAAAATCAACACCCTTGTCCTGGGCTTTGGTGATAACCCTAGAGAATCACAGCAGATTATGGGGAAAGAGACTTGGGAAGTGATTAAGTGCTTCCCTTCATCATCGGCTTCAAGACCCAGAGAAGTGAAGCAGTTGTTGAAGTGACCAAAACTGTAGTTGAGGCCACTTTAATCGGGCAGCACTGGGTGCATTGGTAGGGGGACCTGGGACACACAACAACAGTTAGGGAACTAACTGCACTCTATTAGGCATAGCTTCAGTAATGAGAACCCCAAGGGTACCATCAAACCTTAGTTTAAGAACTCGCTAGAGCTGCACAGATGTTTCTTTAATGCCACCATGAAATGGAACAGAAATGTTCAAATGACTAGGAGAATGCCCCAGCTGTTACTGCTTCAGGTTTCAACAAGGTACCAAGGACTGCCTGGGACCATCTTTCCCTGTGGCCGTCAGGGAGCAGCTGGGATGGGGCAGGACAGCCAAGAATCAGTTGGCACCTGACCTCAAGGGGCTACATTAGGTCTTGACTCTTGAGCAGTGCTGCCCAATAGAATTGTGCGGAGATAGAAATGTTCTCTATCTGTGCTGCCCAATGTGATAGCCACTAGTCACATGAGGACTGAGCATTTGAAATGTCCCTGAGAAACTGAGTTTTAAACTGTATTTATGTTTAAATAGCCGCATGTGGCTAGTGGCTAGCGTATGGACAGCATTGCCCTAGAGCAGGGGTGGGGAACCTTTTTTCTGCTAAGGGCCATTTGGATATTTACAATATCATTCGTAGGTCGTATAAAATTATCAACTTAAAAATTAGCTGTGAAAAAAGGCTCCTAAATTTATTGAATTTTGAGCCCCGCCTGTAGTTGCCTTGGCAGGGCCAGACCAAATGATTTCACGGGCAATATACGGTTAGCAGGCCGGACGTTCTGCACCCCTGCCCTGGAGAATCAAGTAACACAGAATGAGAAAACATCTGGCTTTGGGGAATGAGGGATTAAGAAGCCACACACTTCTCACAGCCCCCTCTGTGCCAGCCAAGGCAGGGCTACAGACAGACGCCGGGCCCGATTCCTTCCTGGAGGCTGCAAGGCTCTGGCTGGCTGTGCTCTCAGGGCAGAAGCCCCTGCCATGCCTAAGCTCAGCCTCCTTTCCCTTCCTGCCTAACACCTAGGCTCCCATTTACCTCTTTTTCTGCCTCTTTCAGTTCAGCTTCTTTCTCTTTGACTCTCTGGACGAACATCTGTCTCATCTCCTCTTCTTTTTTCTGGAGCTCTCCTAGGAATTCATTCCTTTTGGCCTCATATGTCTCCTGTAAACTGCGAACATGGTCAGGTTAATTCCCTCGCCTTTGGAATGGCTCTTATTTGATGAAAACTGGCCCCAATGATCCTCCCTGGGTCCCCCCATCCTCCTGTCCCCGATTTTGGGAGAGGCGCAAAAACAGAACCACAAAACTATGGGCAGCTGGCCTGGCGCGTGACAGCAGAATCACAGGACTGCTTGAGGGTGATGGGGCAGCTGAACTGGAGTGATATTTAGAACTGAGAGTGACTTAGAACAGCTGCTTCTATACTCTCATTTTACAGGTAAGGAAACAAGCCCAGAGAGGTGAGGTGACTTGCTCAAGACCACACAGCTAGTTAGAGGTAGAACTGGGACCGGAAGCTGGATCTTTTCTCTTTTTACTCTGGGTCCTCCGACTCTACTCAGCTCCCAGGTCCTGGCTCTGAAACTGACCACATTAATAAACGATTGCAATAAACACTTGATGAGCCCAGCCGGTGTGACTTAGTGGTTGAGCATCAACCCATGAACCAGGAGGTCACAGTTCAATTCCTGGTCAGGCTACATGCTCGGGTTTCAGGCTTGATCTCCAGTAAGGGGTGTGCAGGAGGCAGCAGATCAATGACTCTCATCATTGAGGCTTCTCTCTCTCTCCCTCTCCCTTCCTCTCTCTGAAATCAATAAACATATTTTAAAAAATTAAAATGTGGGGCTTATGTCAGACATCGTGCATACAGATCAAGCACTTATACTTGGCACATTGCTCCTATCAGCAGAGTAAACTGCTTTCAAAAACATCCCTCTTCTCTGGAAGCATCTTAGATTCTGATTTAAGAAGTATGTCAATGACTATTAACATTCTGTGGTTAAAACAAAACCTGCACTTGACAGTGAATGGAGAGCCTCAAGTTCTCCAGTGCATGTACAATGACTGCTACCTGATCCCGTCTGCTTTTGATGATGCACAGGAAGGTAAAGAACACACTGGACACCTGATGAAGAAAGTGGGGCATGCAGCAGGCACAAACTGCCCACTGGGGAAAAAGGCCGCAGCTCAGGGCCCCTCTCGTAGAGCTGGCTGCAGCTGCCGTGTGTGCATACTCATAGCAGTGAGACTATCGGCCTTGCTAGGCCTCTGGGCCTCCTCCGTGGCCCAGTGCTTGCCAAGCCTGCCTGGCCACACCTCCCCTGGGAAGGCAGAGAGGGGCTGGCAGGTAAAACTGGCAAATCACTGAGTCCTGATGCTCCTGGTCTCAGCACCTGTCTCTCACTCCCCCGTGGATGCTCCAGGGTAAAGCTTCCACACCCCCTGGGTTGGCTGGGCTGAGTTGGCGTGAGAGATACCTGAAGGGTTTGCTGTCGGGGTCAGTGTCCTTGAAGCCCATCTCCTCCAGCTTACAGCGGCGGTACAGCTCGTAGTGCCGGCTGTGGGTCTGTTCCCGGAGGTCCTCCATGTTCACCCGAATCAGCATCTCCCGCAGCTTCACGAAGTCACAGTGGGCCTCATTTTCAACTGCATAGCAGGGGGTGGGGGATAGAAAGTGTATTGAAAGGAAGGCCAGGAGAAGCAGAAACAGTAAAATGAGAAGCGAAATGTCATGCAGCGCCATGGCCTTTCAATCTGTATATAGAGCCTGCGAATTTGCCACCTGATTTGCTTTTCTACTGATAAGGCAGATGAAAAGTGACAATGATGAGAGCAATGGAAAACTGCGATACTATAAAAAAATCTACGAAGACATTTAGTAGCACCTCAACCCCAACTCGCCAATCAGACACGCACAGGAAAGCTTGCCCAGCACCACTTTTAGGACAGTGGCACATGCATGTTCGCCACCTGCCCAATAAATATTTGTGGAATCTCTGCTCCCAGAATCGTATGAGGCACTGGGAATTCAGAAACAAGACACGGGATCTTGCCCTCGGCAGTTTAGTGGGACAACAGATGCAAACAGACAAATACAATACAATGCAAACATTGTGAAAATAATGGTATATAGCTAAGGTGCAGTGGAAGCCCAGAAGAGGGAGCCTAAGAACTCATGGGAGAGTGAAGGCTTCACCAGAGAGGCAACCGCTAAGAGGACTCTTGAAGGAAGAATCGGAATTTATCAGGTGAGGGAATAGTTTTTTCAAGGTCTCAATGAGGTTAGGCAAGGTTATGTAGCTAGTTAATTGTAGGGTTAGGATTCCAATCCAGGTTATCTAAAGCAGAGGAAAAATGCCTGGCAGGTGTGGCTCAGTGATTGAGTATCGACCTGTGGACCTGGAGGTCATGGTTTGATTCCCGGTCAGGGCACATGCCCGGGTTGCGGGCTCCATCCCCAGTAGGGGGCGTGCAGGAGGCAGCGGATCAATGACTCTCTTATCATTGATGTTTCTATCTCTCTCCCCCTCTCCCTTCCTCTCTCTGAAATCAATAAAAACATAAAAAAGAGAGTATTCTCCATCATTAACAAAAAAAAAAAAGAATACCAATATATCCACGGCCCCAGTGAAATATGACCAGCACCTTAGAAGCTCCCTTTAAGGCCCTTCCTGAACTCATGCCCCTCCTTCCCCACCACACTTAACCCGACTTTTGGGTTTATCATTCATTTCTTTGGTTTTTTTTATAATTTTACCACTTACATATGAATTCCTATATATATCTTGTTTAGTTCTATTGAAATTCATGTAAATGGAATCATACAACATGTATTCTTCTAGGACTTATTTAGCTCAATGTTTCTGAGATGCATTCATGTAGATGTAACTATAATCCATTCCTTTTCGCTGCAGTATAATATCCCGTTATATGAACATTTCGCAATTCACCCAATATATTATTTTTATTGAATTTTAGAGAGGAAGGGAGAGGGAGAGAAACATGGATATAAGAGTGAAACATTGAATGGCTGCCTCCTGCACGCCCCCTACTGGGATCGAGCCCAAAACCCAGGCAAGTGCCCTGACGGGGATTCAAACCAGCAGCCTTTCGGTGCAAGGGACAATGCCCAACCAACTAAGCCATACAGGCCAGGGCCATCCAATTTATTTTTAATAGATATCTGAGTTGTTTCTAATTACTCACTACTATGAACACTGATTTGGACATTGTTGTCTGTCTCCTGGTGCACTCGAGCAAGTACACATGCTCTCTTACACACTCCTTCCCACCTTGCACCAGGCACATTTGTTTTGGTTTTAGGAATGCTTTCTCCATTGGAGACAGAGAGCCTACTCATGGCAGAGAATCCAAGAGCCAGAATTTGCCTGCTGGCAACTCCTGCGTCTGTTTGAGGCCCAAGCTGAAAGAGTAGAGACTGGGGACAAGTTAGGGACTGGTCACCCGGTGGTTGGGGACAGGCAAAGAGACAGACAGAAGGGGCTCCCTTCTCCCTGTCTCCTGGAGACTCACTCACCCTGCACCGTGCCCCAAGGGTACTGTCGGGCCTTCATCATCTTGTTCCCTATCTTCAGTTCTTCTGTGCTGCCGATGACAGCAAAAGGCAGGTGGGCCTGAAACAGAAGGCAAACGAAGCTCAGAACTCCAGGGGAAGGGCGGAGCTCCCACAATGCCACTGCTGCTCATCTCCTGGGCTTAGGACCCTCACACTGCAGTGCCCCTCACTATCGTCCACATCAAGAGGCAATTCTTAAGCTCTCGAGCTGCCTGGGGATAAGGCCTAGTCCAGACTTTTGATGTCCAGAGATTCACGATAAAAGGTAACAATGACATGGCCCCGATGCATAGGGAGCAGACAAAGACAGAAAATCAGCAGAATTGTAAACAGATACACAGATTAGCTAGCTCTTCAGTATTCACAGTTGCTGAGGGGAAGAGCCTTGGAAGGTGGCTGAGTGGGATGAGGGTGGCTGCGTGTGGATTGAGAGGCTCACAGGGAACAGGGGTACTGGGATCACTGCCCCCCCCCTTCCCCAGAGTGCTAGAGCCCCGGACATAGGTATATACCGAAACCACCCTGCTGAGCTGTATGCTCCTCATTCTCGTCCTTCCCTGGAGGAAGAGCTCACACTGAACTCTTGAGCCTAGAAGTCAAGCCATAAGTACTTATCTGCATGCCCATGACTGTGCTGGGTTCTGTCTCAGGTGCTGTAAGGGACACAAAAGAAGTAGAAGACACATGCCCTCACCCTCTAGCTTACAATCTTGTTGGGGAAGCTGGATATACATGCCCCAGATCATGTAAGACAGAATATGAGCAAGGGCTCAAACGTATCCTCTGGTGCCCTGCACATAGTAGGTGCTTCATAAATACTCCTTGAATAGCAGTGGCAAGGCCATGGGGATGGTAGAGAGGAAAGAAAGACCAAGTATAAACAGGGGTCTGAGCTTGGTGCTTGTGGGGGTTAACGAGGAGCAGGGTGTGGCGAATGAAGGTTCTGGGGGTCAGAGAAGAGGCAGCTGCCCCCAGTCGGCATGTGGGGCCTGGGAAAGAGCCCCTTCTGCAGGGAGCTGGCCAGGTTATAAGTGCTTAGTGACCACTGGTCAAATGGAATCACTGAATAAATACTGTTTACAAACCAGGTGATTCTGAGCCGGGCTTTCCCTGAAAGGACTTTACGAGGACAAGTAAAAAGTGCACTGGAGCTTTCTTAGCCTGCTTGGAGAAACAGGCCTCCATCGCAGATATTTTGACCCATTGGCTCCTTCTTCCATTCTGTAAATATTTACTGAGTCCTGCTATGTGCTAGGCATTAAAAAGAATCCAACATTAAAAAAGTTCAGAGCCTGCCCATGGAGAGTGCACAGCCTGGGAGGGGAGAGACATGCCAACAACGATAACACAGTGAGGTCCAAATTACAAACAGAGGTTCAAGGGCTGGAAGAACACAAAGGAGGGAGCAGATAACTTTGTGGGAAGTCAAAGCAGGCCTCACACAGTAGGCAGTAGCAATCATGGGAATAGTATTGTAGCTACAGAACTGAGATTAGCAGCAACAATTCACTCAACTCTATGTACTCTACACTGGGTGCTCTACGTTGCATTATCTCATTGAATTTTTACAAAAGTTCTTAAGGTAGATTTTTTTAAAAAATATATATTTTTATCAATTTCAGAGAGAGGAAGGGAGAGGGAGAGAGAGTTGAAACATCAATGATGAGAGAGTCGTCATTGATTGGCTGCCTTCTGCATGCCCCTGACCGGGGATCGAGCCTGCAACCTGGGCATGTGCTCTGACTGGGAATCAAACTGCAATCTCCTGGATCCTAGGTCGATGCTCATCTGCTGAGCCACGCCCAGCCGGATGAGGTAGGTATTTTTATTATCCCATTTTATAGAAGAGGAAACTGAGGCCCAGAAGGGCTAAGTGACTTACTAGCAAGCAGCAAGGGGTGGAATCCAGATCTTCCTGACTTTAAAGCCCACCCCTGCTGGTCTGCCTCAGCCATTGCAGGGTTAGAGCAGCAGATGAGGTGAAACCCTACGATGAACTGGTTGTATAGGGTCAGATTTTTTTTTTAAATCCTCACCCAAGGATATTTTTCCAATGCTTTTCAGAGTGTGGAAGGGAGAGTGGGAGAGAGATACACTGATGTGAGAGAGACACATCGATTGGTTGCCTCCTGCACGCACCCCAACCAGGGCAGGGGACTAGCCTGCAATCAAGGTACGTGCCCTTGGCTGGGATCAAACCCAGGACCCTTCAGTCCACAGGTGAACGCTCTAACCACTGAGCAACACTGGCTAGGATGGAGGGTCAGATTTTAAGAGGCAGTTCAATTCTGGGAAACCTGTGGGAAATGTTTTCTGTTTATTTAATCTGTGCACTGATCTCACAGCTAATCCTTCCTGTCCATTCTCTTCTAGCTCTGCACCCCAAGAATGTTCTTCAGAGTGGAAAAACCCAGGACTTAATCGGGAGCTCAGCTCCAGGACATCTGCTAATCTCCTGAGCTGCCTGGCCATGCAGCTGGAGTGGCTCTCCCTCATCCTCTCTGAGTATCATCTCAGGTCGCCCCTTCCCACCCTGCTGAAATGGGGACATAGGAAAGAAGGAAAGAGGGAAGGAGAAGGTTACAGATATGGAAGGTAGGCCAGGGATGGAGTTGGGAAATGTTTCATCAGTCCTGGTAGGGAAATGAATGAATGAGGGGTCATCGGGCATGGAAACATGGGGCATCAGGGAGTCACCGAAATCTCGAAAACCCTGCCCAAGGCCAGATATTTCTGACCTCTGCCAGCTGGCTCTGCCAGGGGGTCATCTGGGTACAATTCATTCCCACTGAGGAACCCAAGACAGGTTGGGAGCCTCAAATCCACCCCCAAACAGTTTCTGGGAAAATGCTGTCCTTCCTGCAGACACCCCAAAGCTTTGACCACAGGATACAAAAGAGCCAAGGGCAGCAATGGCGGAGGGCTAGACTGAGGGAGGAGGTGAGAAAGAGAAACAGCACTGGGCTTATCCCAGGCTCGCAACTGAAAGTGATGGAGGAGGCTGTGTGAAGTGGGAGGTATTTCTCCAGGCTCAAGAGAAAGAAAAAAAAACCAACAAGAAGAGAATAAAAGAATAAAAAATGTCAGTATTCCCTTGGGCCTATGATTTTTTATCTCCAAAGGACATTGTTAAGTAGAATAACAGGGTCACTTGTTTCCCCTCTTCTTTAAACTGCTGTTATTTTACCCCTCCCCCTTCGAAAATGCACAGCCCCCGCCTGGGCAGCTCCACAGGGCTCCGGGGACCTCCCACGGCCCACTCCTCTGCAACTGGCATCCAAGTCTGTTCTGATAAGCATATGCAAGGATATCATTTCCCAGCGCTCCCAGGAGGACTGCGCTGGATTCTCACAACAGTCTCACAGGGCAGTTATTACCAACCCCACACGTTGATTTGAGGGAGTTGGCAAACAGAAAGGTTAAATGAGTTGCCTGGGTCCCTAACTCTCAGCGCTTCGGATGCCAACCTCCCCCAGTCACCCAGGGCCGCCTGCGTGCTGCCTCCTGACTAAACTGGCATTTGCTGGAAGTCAGCTAACCTTGAAGGGCAGGGAATCGTGGGGCCAGGCTCTGGCCCTCTTTCTGCTGCTCTTGAGGGACTGAAGAGCAGAGAGAAGGTACACCGATCACACTCCCAGGGGTGACACTTGGTATGTGTGGGCCCGGGGAGGAGACTCTGATGGATGCAAGAGAGTGCTGCTGCTAAAACAGCTACAGACACCTAAGGGGAGTCCGTGGAGCTCCCTCACCCAGAAGACCTCTGATGAGGTGCCCCCAGAGGTCAGATGCCCCAGTTCCCGAAAACTTTACCAAGAGATAGCCTCAAGCTTCATCTTGTGAGTCTAGCCCCAGATTCACTACCTTGCCTGTCTCATGTCTACCTTAAATTCCTCTTGGCACATCTGAAAGTGTTTGATGCTCCAATTGGCATGAATGATTCTATTCTGGTTCCACTTTGGGAGAGTAGATGATCGTTCCCCTCAGCCAGGTAAAATCCAGACTGTCAGGGCCCTTTTCTCCTTGTCGGACAATATCCCAACTGGGAGTGGCTTCCTCCCAGGGTGGACAGCATTTCTGGGTCGTGCCACCGGTTATGCTCACCCCCACTTCAGGCGCCTACTGGCAGCTGAGCAAGAGCGTTTCCTGACACTCAAGTCAACCCTTGGTGATTCCCACAAAAGTGTGTGCAAACAACAGAAATGGCACTGCTGCCTTAGAAGAAGGAACAGGCTTGTGCCTGTGGGTCTCCCTGTGACCCTATAGGTCACCCATGTGACCAAATGCCTTTATGGGGGTCAAACCCAAGACCTCACAGGTGGCCAATCAAGTGAGCCAAGTAAAGTAACTGGGCCTATTTCCTGGTCCTTGGCCACGGTTTGAGCCACGCAAAGAACAACACTGAATTTGAACAACACAGCAATTTTTAGTATGAAAGCCTACAACCTTGAGAGTTGTCAGAGCTGGGGTTGAAAGCAGCATGCCACAAGATCTCTCGCTCCCTTGTCTTGCTCCCTCAATCTGAAATCAGGGTTTCCAGAGCCACCCATAGGTCAAGGGGGAGGCTGAGACCTCATTACCACAAGAGGCTTCTTCCGCTTCTTCCAATCCAGTTCCCATGGTAATTGGCTGGGATGGATGGGGCTGTGGGGCTGGAGTCAAATCCAGAACTGAAAGACCAGCACCCATTCCTCCTACCACCCAAGCCCAGGTCTCTGATGATGCAGCTTCGTGTACCACGGCTTGTCCGAAGACCCTGGGGAGTTCTGACAGTTGTAATGGTGGTGGGCACGCTAAGCAATACCATGTATATATTTTATAGCAGCAACTCCTCATCCTGTCCCCCATCACAAGACACATAACCCATAGCGTTCACATGCATGCGCCCCTCCCACGGGCATGCCCAATTCCAGGCACACTAGCTGGAAGCCACCCCTTTCTTTCCAACTCAGAAAAGCATGGTGGAACGCCAAGGAACAGATGCTGAGTGATGTTGTTATAGGGATAACCCTAAATCCACTAAACCTCCAGTTATTAAAAAAAAAAAAAAAAAAA